CCCAAAGGTTGACATTGCCAGCATGTTCGTCGCTTCCTCAGTTCTCAATGCTGCGGTGTCGAACAGCTCAACCTCTAACTCGTTCAATCGCTCCTGGAAGACACGGTTCATCCAGGCTTGCCCTTCTATGCTGTCGAAGTGTATTTCCATCCGTGGTGAATCTGGCTTGATCCAGAGCTCTCAAATCGTGCTCCAATTCCATAAGGATCACTCGTTATTCCACTTCACGACTCTCTCATTATGTCTTCTTGCTGTAGCTGACTGTGATCTTGCATTCATTGGTATTATTCAGACGGTCAGTACCGCGCACTGAAACTTCTGCCACAACGCAGTAAACATGCACACTAGGATCGTTTCCCATTGACCCTGAGTCTGAGCTTTAAGACAACGTTGTTGGCGCCTATCAAAATAATCACGTCTACAAAATTATCACGTCTACCTCCGATTAGTGGTTGCTGTATATTCATTGCCGGACTCCAAGTTGATCCTTTGAAGCATGCTCACATCTGTGTGTCCGGGACTAGCGTGAAGCTATTCTTAATCTGGTTACACTTTCTTCATCGGCCTCTTCTTGACTTTTCTAATGAAGGTTTTTGCTGATTCCGTTGTCGTAGCAGCTCCAGCATCTGTGTTCATTATCAAATCCAAGGAGTGCTCTACTCTGCCGGTATTGTCTATTGTTCCATAGCGTGCAGTCACCCCGGAACCTGGCACATTCCTATTGGCCACGAGTCGACCAGCGGCTTCCACTAGCAGCCACATCGTTCTTCCAATCTTCTGCCTCCATCATCTGCCTCCTCCCAATCGTCAACTTTCCGATTTTCATCTCCTTCGTCAATCTCTATAACAGTTCAATAAGTTTTTTTTGAAAATTCAAATATCATTTAATAAATTATGTTAATATTTTTATTGAAAAAGAAAACAACAAATCCTTCTTGTTCCTTCGCTAGCTTAAACACATTAGTTAACTCTTCGACACTGAGTAGCGGATTTCCTTCTTCGTCTTTCAATTATTGAACCACTCTTCAGCAGTCCAGAACGTGACTGTTGGTTCATTCGGTAGCCTTTCACGTTTTTCAGCCTTTCAAACAAAAAAACACGAGTTCGAATATTTTGTGCTAAACTGATATAGATCTTTTGAAAATGAATTGTGTTGTAATAGAACAATGATTTACCTTTTTCGGTTTACCTTTTAAATCCAGGAACATAATTGTTCTACTTTTGTAATCGATTACAAACGTGAAATACCTAGTTTTAATAAGAGATCGACAATATCTTACTATTTACAAAATCAGAGTCGAAATCTTTTTGAGACTTTTTAAACCGAATCTAAAAAATTTCAAAAAACTAGTTTAAACTTCAGTAAGAGCAGAAAAAGTTTTAAGACAACGAAAAAACTAATAATTTAAATAGATAAATCACGCGAAGCTAGCTAAAAAAAGTCTAATTTCTCGTTAGACAGCATTCAAGTAATATTCAGTTTCATCGTTGTCCTTAATCAAAATTTAATTTTAAGTAATCATCATAATTAGGACCAAAATCATATTCCCATGGGCGAGTCTCGTTACTCGAGTCGTCTCCATGCGGCCAATGATTGTTATCAACGGTGAATATCAGGTGTCGAATTGATATTTCCCTTCTAAGATATTGAATTAAGAGATTTCCTGTATAACTATCCTCCGGATAATCCTATTCGTGGTACACTGTTGGCTCCAGCAGGTATGTATAAGTGATTCTGCCTATCTGGTTAGGTATTTCTTTCATTGAATAAATAAAAGCTTTTAAAAATTTATTTGACCAGGAATCATTATTTAACTCTTGTTTTATAAAATCTGAAACGCTATAATTTGGTTCGACAGTTTGGTAATTTAAGTGGAATCAGGTATTTTTATGCGCCTTTCGATGATATTCCATATAACTTCTTTTTATACATTTCTACGTTTAATATCCAAGGTTTCACGCTTTTTTCTAATTTAAACTAAGTACATGTTGTTTGCTTATCATTAATTTTGTCTGTCTAGTGCGTTTAATAGACTGAAATTTCCGTAGGTTTTTCATGATTAGCACATGTTTAGCCACCAAAGAAAACCAGACGATTTTAGAACCCTATTTAAACTGATCTAATTTTTTTTTGATTTCAAGTTATTTAATTTATCAATTTTTCAAGTGTTTGAAGTTTTTAGGCAAAAAAATTGATTAGCCCGGATGTATTCAAGTTTCTTGTTATGCGCAATATCACCACTTACATAACTGTGTAATTTGTCCTAATAGATTTCAAGTCGATTGTGAAAAGAAATAAATATATGTTGACTAAGTATTATCTTTGCCCAAATTGAGCCAAACGATTTTATGGGTACATGCATTTGTATCAGTTACATTCAAATACAAGTTTGCATTACAAACCGAGTGCAACGGGTCGAAAGTTTAATAAACATAAATTTTGTACCTGCTCTTTTCCGCACCCTGCTCTTGATCTTGAAAAAAAATCTTGCTAATAGTAGATTAATTAGCTGAATTTAAATGAATAATGGAATGAAAACTGGTTCTGTCTATCTAAGTTTTTTTTTTATCAAATGCTAATCATCTTAAAGTAAAACTTGTCTTATTTTTCGAACCATCTAAAGTTTGTCATTAATTTGAAATGTCGTCATACAACGCATTGTCTAAAGGGTCTGCCAGCCCCTAGTCCCAACCTAGCGTCCCACCAAAGGAGCGATTGATCCGGGATTAAATTGCTAAAGACAGCCTTTTTCAAATGCGAGTCATAAAATGAGTTTTGTTCTTTTAACGTCTCCTGGAGGCTGCAAGAAGACGTCTTTTCTCAAAAAATGTTTCAAACAACATTTTTTTTGGAATATGCACAAAGAACAAATTTACAGTTTAGCTTAAGTTCGCCATAGCGCGAAAGGAATGCAAATCAGTTTTCTCTTCGTAAACCTGCATAATATTCTGAACTTTTCCGTTTAGGACTCTGTACTTTTTCTTTTTGGTCAATTGGTGCCCTCTCGAGGCGTTGAAGAAACTAAGTTTTCGAAGGGAGGAGCCTTTTGCAATTTTGCTTTTATTTTCTATATAATAGGGTGTGAACCACTAAAAATGACTGTATGCCATAATGCCAGCCCTCCACATTATTTGTTGTTCTTGACAAACTGGATGTTACCGCATCTCTTTGGTTCCATAGTGAAGGGGGAATAGGACTTCTCGGTTCGGGACAAGACTTAATATGTATTTAGATCAATATACTGGCAGAGCTCATCAACTTTTGCTTTTTTCCGACTCTTTTATGGTGCGATCGCATACTATTTGAATTTCCTCGACTATTTTATCCTACGAGTTCCTATTTCTGCTTCTCTTTCGAGAGGAATCTTTAAATTAAGTGCTAATGCAAGCTCGTGGTTTGTTTTGTACTCTTTTTCAATCCGAGTTCCGCATTTTTTCCCATATAATTTTGAAGATGAAAAAAAAACATCCACCTAGCTTGGACTCTGGTGAAGTTTTTCGGAACGCTTAAAGAGCGGCCTGCTCAAAATCCAACACATTTTTTAGGCTTACTGTCAGGGGCTGACTTTTTTAGGGCTTCTAAGTAAGAAGGAATTAATGCTAGCGGGGGCTATTCCTGAAAGACTAACTTGTAAAGAGTAATGTTGCTAAAACATTTTATGAGTAAATTTGAAAGTTCCGTCAGCCCACCAAAAGATTGAATGTTCAAGCACCCGTAGCCTTTCCTGGTCGCCGAACTAAATAATCCTTTCATTATCCTGTCGAATCCTGCAATTTTTTTAAATAGCTAGGGTGTTTCTAAATTTCTTGTTGCCGGGGAGTCTGGTTTAACCTGTTCTCGTTGCTTGCGCGTGCGTTGTGCAGTTCGAACTAATTTTTCCTTAGTTGATAGGGCTAATTGATTGGCAATTTCGTCTGTTATCGGCTGAATTGCTGTGGCCACTGCGACGGTCGTCACAGCAGTTAGCCCATAACAGACGTCAGGTCCTTGATATTTTTAAAACTTGTCAAACATCATGTTTTTCCGTAGAAATGTCATAATAATGCTCACCCCCCGTTTCAGTTAATTTTTCGCAATCCGTAATTGCTGTTGCTCGGCTCTTATGAGTCTGGTATTTTGAGCAGTTCCAGTTCGTAGTGGTTTTGATGTTAGGTTTAAGATAATACTCGTGGCCTGATACCACTCATATTTGTTTGTCTTTGGAGGCTAAAGTAAACTGGAAGAACGCTTCAGACATTATAGCTCATAGAATGGTAAAAAATTAGTTCATGTGTAAGGCAGGATGATTTAATGTAAATTTTCTTAAAATTCTTGAGTTGCGTTCAATTAGCACCATGTAGGTTAATCTGTTTAAACGCGTACATGAGGGATTATTTTTCTAACTAATCGAAATGAAATTGTTTTTGAGATGCTAGAGATATCAAGTGAATTAGGACTGGCTTTTTAAGCCTCAATTAGTAAACTCGATTGGAATACTCCTGTAGTTATAAAAGACTTATTTAGAAACAAATTATCGGTATTAAAAGGGGGTTAATTTAATGTGGGGTTATCTTGTAATGGGGTTATAAAGTAGGGGGTGTAAAAATTGGGTTGAAATAACGTGGGGTTAAAGAGTGGGACAGCTGGAAATTGTATCACTCGCTTTTGGTGCACAAAAGCTATCGTTTTTCTGGAAGCTTCAGACTATAAAATTAATTTGGATAGCATTATTGGATCTGTTTTTGTTGCTATTTTCGAAATCTTTTTTGGTTCGAAGAAGGCATTTTTTTTGAAAAGATGCTAGTCATGTAATTCCCATAGTATGGAGATTTTTTCGGGAATTTCTTTAATCGTATGTTTTTTCAAAGACCATTATTTGACTTTTAACGTCAACGTCAGAGCAATTAATTTACGATCTCATGACTTTTTGAAAAACGTTTTTGAAGATCTTTTTGATTAAAATGTTAAGAATTGAAAAAACGTTCTGGTCATACCATTCTTATATATTAGAATTGTATGAATTGCGTTTTTCATAAGCTTGTGTATGGATATTGTGTCTATAGAGTTTTCAGTGTATGGAGATCAGGCCTTGAAAGCCTTCAACCTACCAACGAAAAAGTATAGTTTGCGCGCCAAATGAGTTTTCTGTAAGACTTGGCTGCATAAGCAGCCAGGGACCATAACTATTTTGTTCAGTTCGAGTAATTTTATGTATAAATCGATAATTTTCTTCTCGGGACTTAAGCGTTTGTACAAAAAAAGTAAATAAATATACCAAATCCTATGCAGACATCGTAAGTTTTGTCATTTATATATTGCGAGTTTTAGCTCTTAGTTATAGTTCTCTATATCGAAATGAATAAATTGTTTGATAAACGAGTGTTTTCTTAGATGCTGTAGAAGTAATTGTGGTTTAATGAACATTGGTGTTCCTGTAACATACCACAATATCTCCCTGAATTAGAAATAATATATTTCCTCAGTTTCCTCTGGTCTCAATTAAAGTTCAATTTAAATTGCTTATAAATTATCACAGACAGGATGCTTCACGGACGAATTGAAGAACAAAAATAATGCTAACGCAAAAACTATAGTTTGAGAGAACGTTCTACATAATTTTTTGTTAACCAGAATTGTTTTTTTTTGGCCATCAAACGATTTAATATGAAGAAGTATTGGATCCTAATGGAATAATTGCCCAATTTTCTACTATAAAAAACACTATGCGTAGCTGATGTCATTGACATTTGCCTGACATGATTGATAGCATTAGTGTTTAATTAAAAGACTTAAACTTGATTTTGTTTTCTTATACCAGTGACTAATTCGTATCATGGAGAACAAATAAATTGACATGGCGCAGAATTTGGTCTCAAGAATTATTTCAACATTTGTTGAGCTTATTTACAAAATATGATTGAACGATTTTTCAGAATTTCATTGGATAAATTGTTAAATGAAGAAATGGATGAACAGTTAGCCGAATCAGCTGCTCCAAATCCTGACGTTGCACGATCTTTTCAATCATCATTATCCCCTATTAAAACAGACCTTCCAATTGCGCTAAAACATACAGAAGATGAAAATGACGACGAAGATGTTACCAAAATATCCAAAGACATTAGCGAAAGTGTTAATATCTCGAAAAATGCGACAGGCTCCAAATTGAAAGATTCTATTCAATCTCGCAAGGTTCTCAGAGATACATTAGTGCAAACGGCAGCTAATTTCCTCAAAAACCCCAAAACAATTAAGTCATCAGCCGCTGATAAAAGATCGTTCCTTTTGAAAAAAGGTCTAACTCAAGAGGAAATAGATCAAGCTTTTTTCATCAGCGGATTCAACCAAGATGAGTTCGAAGGTCACTTGAACGAAAATGCGGCGGTTGATTTGCGTAATGGTCTGAATAATTTGAGCTATTCAAATACAAATGCAGTTTCGAGGAACGACCGTAGCTCGAACTTGTCTATATTGTCAATGCTAAGTCAGTTTTCGTTTGCGATTTCCTTACTTGGAGGTTTAGCGTGGGGGTTGTATCACATGATTCGAAGCTACCTTGTACCGTTGTTTCAAACGAGTCGGCAACTTGAAAAGAGGATGAAAAAACAAGACAACACTCTTCATCAGATGAGCTTGACCCTCGAAGCGATCAACTCACAACTTGCGCTAAATGCCTCAGAAGTAACGAATGACTCGTTTAATATGTCAAAAAGAGATGAAGATTTGAGATCTATTCTGGAAGAGCTTAAGTCCATGAAAAAATTGATGCTGAGCAAAGAAAATTTCCCACCTCCGCCCAAAATTGAACCGATTCCCCAGGATTGGAAAGTTGGTCATCGTCGGAATCTCGAAACTAATACGACTAATGGATTACCGAATGGCAATGCGGGGTACCAAAATGAAGTAGAAAATTCATCGCGGCAAGTTGATGACAGAAATACGGCATGTTTTGAGGGCGAAAAGCAGTTAGCCTCAATGGAAAACGGAGTTGAGACTTCTAAGGCAGAACTGGTAAACGGTTTTCACGACAAGCAAAATGGATTGTTAGAGAGCGAATGAAATTGATTCAACTCAAAGATAGTAAACACAAAAACTTTTCTGTATCTAGAGTTTTATGGAGAGTTAGCATGTCCATATCCTGCTCAATTCTCGAATAGATAGATTATTATTATTTGATAATGTTGATAAACTAATAAGTATTCAAAGTTTAAGTTAGAATTCATGCGTTTTTTCACTAGAAGCAGATACTTAAAATGAGTTGTATAGGTGATAACATACTAGATTGCAGACGCGGATCTAAGATTTTCTCGAAGGGGGACGGATTTTCAAAAACGTTTCGTACGTGTTATCGACTGTTGTGTACTAAGTTGACCAAATTCAATTTTCGGATTGACTAGTTTTTTCCGCCACAGCCCCCTACTGTTGGTATTAATTTCAATGGTCCTACACTTTTTGTCATGCTCTATTTCTAATTGGAAAGCTATTTCTGGACTTGCTCTGTTTCATCTATGGACCTAATAGCGGAAAAACAATAAAAATAAAAAAAAGTTATTACTAAGTGCAGGTCTGGCAATGTTTTTAATCTTGGTATTATTTCACTTGCGAGAGCAAGTGACTTGCGAGAGCAAGTGACTTGTAATCAGGAACGAAACTTACAAATTCAAGACATAGTTACAGTTACTGCAGTTGCTTTCACGTGTGCAGGCTGACATGCTCAATTTTTTTATATTCAATTAAAGTACTTTTTAGTTCTTTTTAGGCGGCTATTAATTTTTTCAAAGATATTGGGAAAATGTTGATTTCTTTTGGATTTGTGATTTTCGTCCTAATGTCTGTCGGCTGATTTTCCGTTTCTTTTCCAAACGCAATTTAAATTATCTGATACGCTATTCTAGCAGTTTCTTTCCAGAGCTACAAGACAGTTCTTTCAAATTCAAGACATACGTACAGTTACTGCAGTTGCTTTCACCTTTGTAAGCTGACATGCTCAATTTTTGAATCTCAATTAAAGTGTCTCCTGATTTGTTTGTTTGTGGTAATTAATTTTTTTTCGAAGATATTGGAAAAAAGTTGATTTCTTTCGGATTTGTGGTTTTCGTCCTAATGTCTGTCGGCTGATTTTCCGTTTCTTTTCCAAATGCAATTTAGGTTTTCTGATACGCTATTCTAGCAGTTTCATTCTTAAGCGGGGGTTTTTTTCTTCAAACAACAGTATTTACTATAATTGAGAGTTATTCTGTTGTTTGTAAATTCAGTAACTTTGATTTTGAGTTTTTTTTTGGTTATACAGGTTCGGCTTATCTTATATCGGCTTACTGATGTTATAACAATGCGTAGCAATTTTTTAAATGCTTGTTCAATCTGTTTACGAACATCATTCAAGATAAAGGTGTAAAACTTATGTAAATATAATTTTTTATATTTTCTTGTATTTCCCAAAAATCTACGTCATTTTTTCCATTGAATATCCATTTGTCCATTTATGCGAGTAAGGTGCTGAAACTGACGTTCTCAATAATTTTTTATGCTATTGGTACTCCAAAATTATGAAAGAAAACTAAATAACTTGATCGTCATTTGTTTGATGCGCCAGTTTGTGATTAAAATCTATCAAAAAAAGAAATTGTGTGCTCACTAGCGATGTCAGACAGCGAAACGATGTAAAAAACATTGAGGTTTGGAATGAACGATGTTTCGTTTTTTTGGTAAAATTATCATTAGACATGCAATTAGCAAGCATTATCAAATCAGAGTAAAGACACTTTTGGGTTAACAAGTTGTTTAGGACAATCAATCGAATCAGTAAGTATCCTGGTTCATAATGAATTCCATTTTCCTGGCGTCTTCAGATTACTAAGTCTGGAGGTAACTAATACATCTGCGATGGCAAAGGTCCTTGTTTGCATAGGAACAGGTCTTTTTTGCTTGTATTTAATTAGCTTAGTGACCTGCTTTTTGATAGATTTAGAGTAAACGTAATTTATATGATCTCCTCCGGACAGCACAAAACGCTATAAACCTCAATATACAGTTAACAAGACTGCTCGTATCAGCGCGAAGCCCTGAATGTTCCGACTGCCTTTCAAGGTTTAAGGAGCCGTAATAACATTAAAAAATTCAATGAAATAAAATAAAATAATTTTTTTTTTTGAATTTGAATTTTTTTTTTGAAAATCATCCCCCCCACACGCCATATAAAATACAAAATGATAGATTTCGCTCCTGGTAACAAACCATTTATGGCAAATAAGCTTCTTTTAACCAATTTGGAACGATTTCTAAGACGTATTAACTCTCCGCTTACGCGTTAATAGCGCGAAATATATCGCGCGTTAATTGTCCCAAATTGGCCTAAATGGCAATCTTTAAACCCCCGTAATTTTTTGAAAAATGATCACAGGTGAAATATCTTTTCAACTTTAAGCTCAGGACAACAATAGCTTTCGAATGATATAAAAAAAATTCCGTAAAAAATGGCTGGTTAAAAAGTCGAAATTTGTCTGAAGAAAAAAAAAACCCACCCCGAGCACAAATAATCCGTTACTTTCGTATCGAAAGTCGGAACAATAATTCAAACCTTTTCATGTCAACGAGTTTGGATTCAGTTCTCCAGGAATTTCACGAAAGTTTGAGGGCCCAGTTGCCGCTTGATAAGTGTTTTTGAATTTTCATTAGACGTTGATTGTTTTCTTGGTCGTGTATTCAGCAAAAATAACATCATTCCAGACATTTTGAAATTAGTTTGTGGTTTTATGAAAATGTTTGAATTTTTCAAATTTATCTCCCTTCCTGTATGCTAGCTTGCATAGCTTTTTTCCAGACGCAATCGGAAGTGGTGCAGAGCTCCGGTTCGCCTCTGTGTTAAAAGATTCTTGCAATTAGTGGCAATGGTAATGCACCTCACCTCACTACTCATTTTTTTAAATCGAGAATTGCGTTTTAACTTCTTGTTGAAATCGCGATCCACAGACCGCAATCTGTGTATCGTTTGCTGTTATCGTTAATCACATTGTATATTTGACACTTAAATTTAGTAATATTAAGCATTTTGATGCAATCTTTAAAAATTTTATTTCATTCGAAAAGATCTTTTTGTTATTCCCATTGTTGTGAAAAGTTTGCGCAAGCACGTTCATCGCTCGTTAAATTACGCTCATTTTTTAGCCCCTGATCCTTAATGCAGGACCAATCGTGGGAGAGGGAGGATGTCATCCAGTGAGGAGGCGGATGACACTGGGACACCTCCAACCGTACTGATTTGGGATGCTAATTAACGACCATCGTGTTGAGAGACTCAGTTTATCGGCTGAAGTAGGGTTTATTCTGTTATTAAACAAGCGAAGCGTAGTGTAATTCTACGATGTGTTTTTTTCCAACCTAAGTCGACAATAAAAGTGTTCATCATGCTGTTGTTGTATATCGTTTATTCCATAGCGTTTTAATTGCATGTTTTCATTTTCGCTTAGTTAGTAACAAGTTCCAGTTCGATAATAATGGATGCTATGAAAATCTATGGAATTTGTATTTTTAGACGCTCTGGAAAGCTTTTGCCTTTTTCGCAGAAATTTTTTTCAAAAACTACGTAACAGATTTTCAAAAGGTTTTACCAATGGAAAGGCCGGCTAGGCAACAGTTTGTATGCGTATTACCGTAGTCTCTTTTAACCTTAACCCACGTGCTACGTCCTTCGAAAAATTTCAGTGGGGAGTTTTTAATCTTTTTTGTTCGGTTTTTTCTTTTTTTGAAAAATTGCCCTGCTAAATGCGAGATGAAAGTTTTCATCGATAAAGCATGTCAAGAGGATCTTCAGTGCATAAACCGTTTCGCCTAAATTTATGGCGTTATAAGGTTACCTAATTTTGAAACTTTGAACAACAAGGGTCTGAAAGGCTTTCTTCTGACAGTTTTTGTGCAACCTGAGATTGAGCAAATTTTGTCGCCAAAATGGTAGAAAGCTATAAAAGTAGAAAAACCAGCATGGCCATAGGAAAATTTCGTATTTTACACTTTTTTCTCGAGATTTACCGTGCTAAATCTGAGTTAATATTTCAATTCAAAGGTTGTTTTTCCCTGCATAGGCTGCCACTGCCTAGATTTGGTTGATAAAAAACGTTGGCTTAAAGCAAGCAGAATACATCTTCTGACAGTTTTCGTGAAATTCTATCATCTTTATCGAAAATTACCCTGCCAAATCTGATGTTGAATGTTAACTGCAAGTAACAGATTTTGGGGGTTTGCCCTACATTAGGGATAATCTCCTGTTTTATAGAAGTAAAAGCGTTATGGATCTAGGAAAAATCAAAATTCAGATGTTTTAAGGAAATTTTTTCACTTGTCTCAAAAAGCCAGTACAACAGTGCCCAAGTACAAGTGCCGAAAAAAAAAATTGTTCAACAGCACCGAAAATGAAAACTTTGTTCAACAGTGCCGAAAATTTGAACATATTAAGTGCCGCAATCAAAAATTAAACGGCAATCGTTTACAATCTTAAGTGACACTAAGTTTTTGAGCGAGAAAATTTGCAACGTAGACGTTTTAGCGCCAAAATAACTGTTTAACTTGCAGTTACAGACATTTTTGCGCCACAATTGGAGTGTTTTTCTTTGTTGATTAGCGTCAGTAATTTCCCGCTCTTAAGAAAATGCAGTTAAATTATTCTGAAATTTTCCCGCCTTTTTCAGCACTGTTGAACGCCTCCCTCAAAAACTAACCAGCTAAATCTTAGATGCAGAACTCCGTGGAATCCTTCATACGCGAAAGACTGAATGCGCGAAATTAAAAATCAGCCAATCAGATTTCACTAATCTAAATTTTGGAAAGAAAGTAAACATTTCCAGGGACTGAATATTGATATTGGCCAAATATGAAAATGGCAGAAATATGCAAAATTTTCAAATTGTCACTGACCACCGCCGAATTGGAACAAATTTGTTATTTCAAGGGCCGTTTCGTTATGAAAAAAGCAAAATATTGCTTCGTTCAATTCATTAAATAAAAGGAAAAGCCCCTAATTTTGCTGGAAAATCACAGTGGTTTTGGTTAAAGCCCATTTTTTGATATTTCGAAATTTCTTCTGCATCAGTAAAACATATTCTGAAGGAAGCTCAAAGAGTTACCTCCAGTTTCAGCTGGGCCACTGCTGTTTGTTAATCTACGAGAGCACATGAAACAGATGAAAGAACCTTAGT